GAGGGGAAGACCCTCTATGAGGTGGATTGATTCAGTGACTGGGATACTCGGGATGGGTTTGTCAGGGGCAATGAGATTGGCACAGGATAGAGCACAGTTTAGGACTGTTGTACATAGGGTCGCTATGAGTTGCAAACGACTCGATGGCACATAACAACAACAACATATAGCATGGGAGGAGCTGGAAAGCATTATGCTGAGTGAGCTAATTCAGTCTTATAAGGATAAATTATTGTAAAAATAGAAAGATAACTAGCAAGATGTGTACAATAGTGCAAAAGAGAAAAGGGAGGGAGGAGAGAGGCTGGAAGTTGAGAGGTGGGAAATCTTGACATCACAGTTTGCTGGGCAGAGTGAGGGGGTGGAAAGAATTAGGAGATGATACAATGGAGACCTGAAAAGGTGGGGTAATTTTGGGCATGGACCAATGGTGATTAATTTTATAAAACACAGTGTATGTGAATGATAATATGAAACACAATGTGAACAGAAGAATTCATGAAGCACACTGTATATAAATGAAACACAATGTGTATGTATTTTGTGTGAAAACCAATATAAAATAAAAATAATTTTTAAAAATGTTGAATGTAGAAATTCCATATGACCTAGCTATTCTATTGCTAGAAATATATCCTTAGGAAAACAGAACTGAGACATGAACAGAGATTTGTATATTAATGTTCGTAGCTGTGCTTTTCACGATAGAAATAAAATGGAAACAAACTAAATGTCTATCAACAAAACGAATGGATTGAGAAATTGTGGTACATTTACATGAAGGAATACTAAACAGCATTCAGGAACAACAATTTCCAAAAACATTATATAACATGGGAGAGGCTAGAGACCATTCTGCTGAGTGAACTAACTTAGTCTCATAAGGATTAAGACTACTACTATAAAAATAGAAGGATGACTAATAATATGTGTATAAAAGTCCAAAGAGGGAAGGGGTGGGGGAAGGAGGGTAGGGCAGGGAGGGGAGTAAATAAACTGGCTGCAGAGTTTGGTGGGTGGAGGGAGAGGGTGAAGGAATTAAGAAAGACCCGGGGGGATCTGAAAAGATGGGGTGATAGCAGACATAATTTCAATGACTTTAAAAGACCATGAATTATTTTGATCTTTTTCACTGACTATTCCCTCATGAATAGTACTGCTACTGAATAAAATTATTAAAAAGTAAGATAAGATAAATCTAAGATCTTTACTAAGATAACGAGATGATGACTTCGGATTTATAATGTAAACGCTGTTTCCTGGTCATGTAAGGTATGGCTAGAAGAATTCCAGCTTTTCTGAACAAGGTATAAAAAAACCCAAACAAAACACTGTTGTCAAGTTCAACTCACAGTGACCCCATATATGTGTAATGTAGAAGTGTTCTCCCTTAAGTTTTTCATGACTGTAATATTTTGGAAGCAATTCACCAGGCTCTTTTTTTTTTGAGGTGCCTCTGGTTAGGTTTGAAGTTAGTAGTTGAGTGAGTAACTTTTGCCACCCAAAGATACCAAATGAAGGATACAGATATCAAACTTGATTCAAAATATATCAGAAAGTAAAGTACAAGTTAAAAGGCATAATGTAAAATTTTTGCCTATAAGTAAAAAACAGTTAACAAAATACAACTGTCCTGCCCGGCTACGGGTCAAATATCCAATGACATCTGTGGTCACAAGAACAACTAAACTACTTATGGAGATCTTCTAAGGAAAAAATATAGTTCACTTAGTGGAATCTCTAGAGCTTGTATTGTTGTTGCTGTTGATTGTCATCGAGTTGAGCACGACGACCCTATGAACAAAAGGCCTGAAGCCATTCTATAACTATTGACATTAATCAAAGTTCTTCCAGAGGCATGTTGTTTAGGAAGTGGATGCCATTCCTGCTTCCAAAGACCTTGTATTATAAGTACACCCCTACTAACTCAATTTACCCCATTAAACCAAAATATTCCATGGAAAGATATATTCATTCTCTTTGGAAACAAAGAATTTCAGAATCTGGAAAATTAGGATTCTGTTTTCACTACTAATTTTCTGAGTGTTCAAACCCATAAACACCTATGGAAGCAGTAATAAAGAAATCAAATGGCTTATTGCATTGGAAATCTCCTGAAAATTACCCTGTTAAAGGGCTTGGCTGTTTCTCTGGTCTTGCTGTTATGAATAATGAGCACTGGTGTCCAAACCTCCATTTGTATCTCAGTTCTGTTTTCCTTGGAGTATATTCCTAGCAATGGGATCATGGAATCTTTATGTTCAGCTTTTTCAGGACATGCTAAACTGCCTTCCAGAGTGGTTGTACCATTTTACAATCCTACCAACAGTGTATGAGAGTTCCAATCTCTCTACACCCTCTCCAACATTTATTGCTTTCTGTCCTGATTGTGGTTTATTATACAGTGCTAAAAGCCTCTCAAAAAATAAACAAATCTACCATTCTCATAAAATGGATCAGAGACCTGATTATTTTCTTGCCAAGAAATCATTCATGTTGGATCCAGTTGCATAGTGCTATAACTACAGCTAGACTTGCCAACTAACCCCCACCTTGTGCATCTTAGAAAGAAATATAATATTCCCAAAAGAAAAAAAAAATAAACAAATCTGTATTGCAAGAAATACAATCATAATGCTCCACAGAAGCAAACATGGTGAGAGTTGATCTCATATACTATGGGCCAATTCTGGAGATAGACATCATGCTTGGTAAATGTAGGGTCAGCAAAAAGAGATTCCCCTCCCCCGCCCCCTCACTGATGAAGTGGCTGCAACAATGGGTTCAAGCACAGCATTGATTGTGAGGATGGAACAGGATCAGGAAGTGTTTTATTCGGAAGCATACAGAATTTGCTAGTAGTCTGAGTCTACTACCTTAAAGGTATCTAACAGCAATAACCCCACTTTAATTACCATGTGAGCTCAAGCATTAGTAACGGAAGTGACATGGAAGTTAACATGGAAACATGTAAAAGTAAGTGGAGAGTACAAATTCCAAATCCAAAACACAGAATTACATGTGAATTTTTAGAAGGAAATCAGTAACTTCTGTAATAGAGTACATAAAGGGATTCTGTAAAGATTATATGACTCTGAGAAACAAATGAGGAACAGCCTTATGTCCTGAACAGAGATTTATGCAAGAACAATAATCTTAGAAGTACCAGAATTTGAGGAAATTAGTTTATTTAAAAAAATTAGCTTTTGAGTGCTATGAGTCTGAGAGCTGGGATGATAGAAAGAGAATAGCTAAAAAAAAAAGAAAGAAAGAGAATTGCTGCCTTTGAGCTGTGGTGCTGGAAAAGAGTGTTGAATACACCATGGGCTGCTAGGAGAACAAACATGTTCGTCCTGGGGAGGGTGAAAGCTGGCTGCTCCTTGGAGGCAAGGATTCTGAACCTTCGTCTGATATTCTTTGAACATGGTGCAAGGAGGGACCAGTCCTTGGAGAGGGGGATAATGTTTGGGAGATGGAGGGACAGAGCAGGAGAGGAAGATCCTCAATGAGATGGATCATTTTAGTGATTTGGGTAATGGCAGTGGGTGTGTCAGAGACGGTGAAGTTGGCACAGGGTTTAGGGCTCTTGTGCATGAGGTCCCTCGACAGCACATAACAACAACAACAATAACATATGAATCCCAATTTAGAAACTATCTCTAAAAGGAAATAACTTCACTTCCAATACTTAGTTACTTCTAAATCAAACATTTTCATCTGTGAAATAATTTTGAGGAACAAAAATATTAAATAATAATTTTTTTCAGAGAAGTTTTTGAGAACATTTTAAGCTGAACTTTAAGCTACTTGTGCTTCAAAATACTGAAGCAATTATTAAGACAGTGCTTAACATTAGGCAAACTAAATTATAATTTACAAATGGATGCTCCATACCTGGCCCCCGTTGGTTACTGAGAAGATTCGAGTGGTGCCTCCACACTGTTTCACATACCACAAGAACCAAAGGGCTGATACTTCATGGGGTTCAGAGGTTACATTGATATTCACAAAGAGATAAGCAAACTGCCTAGCAGTCCTGTTCACAGAATAAGAATGGAATTTAGGCACAAATACAAATATACTTATTAACAACATTTTATCGTGTTATAGAAACAAGTTCATATAGTTGGATTATTTCTATTGTCTTTGAAAAAAACCTCACAGATTCAATTACTGAAGAAATGCCATTTTAGTTCTTGAAGAGAATAACATTTTCCCATTTTTTAAAAAGTTATGATTTACCTCTAAATCTTTCTCCACGTTACACCCAAAAGTGGTTTTTATCCAAATGTCAAAGCTTAAAAACCTTCAGTAGTTTTTCAGTGGAGAAAAATCAGCTTTTTGGATGTGGTTAATAAACCTTCTACCTTTTGCCCAATTTCCCAACATCTCCTTATATCACTCGTCCATATTTTCTCTTTAGTATAATCATACTGTCCATTCAGACACTAAAACATGTCAATCTCTTTCCTATTTCAGGGCTTTCATATAACTTATATCTGTTCTCTATCTGGAAGATGCCACACTCCTAGGGCCTTAGTCATTGTGTCTCCATGCTTAGTTGACAGACTAACTATTTAGGTTTCAATTTAAGGACTGCTTTGTCAAGGACGCTTTTCTTTTCCCCTCATACCAAGTACTCCTCTTGTTGTGAACACTCTCCTACCATTACGTATTTATGCATTCAAAATCAGTCTTACCTGCTAAAAGATAAACTCCATAAAGGAGAGGACCACATCCAACAAGTTCATCATTGCTACTCAGTGCGCAAAACTATATTGACTAATTAAAAAAAAAATCAAACCAACACCCCCAATAACAAAACTCCTAATAGCATGGATTTCAATTAAAAACAACATGTAGCTTGTTTACAATTTTAAATTAATAAAAATTAATTTCCTTGCAATTTCTTAATTGTTCCACAACATCTATATTATATTACTTTTAAAATATCCTTCCAAATCACTTCTGTAGCTGATGTTTATAATGTGAATAAACAATAACTCATTTATTGAAAATCCCTTGACTCTTCCATTGGCAATTTTACTTCAGTCACTACTATATTTGTAAATTTGTGATTCATTTCATTTACAAATCAGTTTTAAGTGTCTACAATGAAAGCTGAAAGTTGGTAGTGATTGCCAAGATCATTCATTTTCTCCTCGTTTTTTAAAAAGTTGTTAAAATAAACACAACTCAATATAAGCAGGAAAGGAGGGGAAGATAGAACCCAAATTTTAAAAATCTCAATCTACTTTGTCCAGCAGATTTTATCAATGAGATCTTTCATGGTCATCTTGTCCCATTCCTCAGCATGTGGAGAATCCCATGGAGCATCAGCCCGAATCTGCAGAGAAGATTCAACACTCAGGTGTGACAGTGACAGCCCACTGACCCCAAGAGGTGCTCATCTCATAAGAATCTCCGAAAACTTTCAAATCCCTGTGTTGGAACATGTTATTAGCATAAATTTCTGCTTATAGCCAGCTTAGGGAAGTAACTCTTTGGGCTCTACAGGTTAAAACTACTGGCAAAAATAATATGTAGAATTATGGAAAATGTCTATATATTTGCATATACAATTTTAAAAGTATATGAATATTATTATTATTATTATTATTATTGTTATTATTATTGTTATTATTAGATAAGGTCCATTTTAAGGCCCTAACTCAAGTTAAAGAAAGTGATGTTAGAGAGACTGAACCTAAGTAAAAAAGAAAAATCTTCTCTAATTTACTAAGTGGTATCATGTATATATATGAAGTCTGTAAGTATGAATACTTGGAGTTATGCTGCCAACCCAAGGACAGGTGGTTCGAATCCACCAGTTGCTTTGTGGGAGAAAGATGGACAATCTCCTCCTGCACAATTTACTACCTCTGAAAACCCAATAGAGGGTCAGTTATGGGTCACTTGCAACTTGATGGCACATACACCACCATCATTATTTCAGTCATGTGCAAGGTAAATACACATTTTACCTCCTTCCCCATATTATCCATTGTCCGCCACAGGTTATTGTAATCCAGATATGCAATCGGGTTCCACACTGGAGGAAAGGCACCACGAAATGGATAAATTTTCCCCTAGAACATAAAAGCAAAGAAAATATATTGAAAATAGCAATACATTAAATCTGGATGGCTTTTGGAAAGTAAATATATTTTAAATATACAGACCCTACATTTCAGTATGATTAGCAAAATTTCCTTAGAGCCAAATTATTGTTGTTGTTATGTGCCATTGAGTCACTTGCAACTCATAGTGACCCTATTTACAACAGCCCTAAAACCTGCTCTACTCTGTGCCAATCTTACTGTCTCTGACACACCATTACTCCAGTCACTGAATCAATCCATCTTATTGAGAGTCTTCCTCTCTTGTGCTGTCTCTCCACCCACCCAAACAAGTTTGTCCTAGAGAGGGTGAGGTCAGGCTGCTCCTTGGAGGCAAGGATTCTGAAATTTCATCTGACATATTTTGGCATGTTGCAAGGCAGGACTAGTCCTTAGAGAGGGACATTATGCTCGGGACCATGAAGGCAGAGATTAAGGTGAACTAAAGCTAAGGATCTGTGACCATCATCAGGTTCTCAATCCTAAATCAAAGTGACCAATTCTCTAACCTTTGCATGATAGAGTCTTTGAAACAGCAGAAATTGTTGTGGAGCAGAACACAATGTCCTCGGAACTGTGACCAAAATATTTAAGTAGTTTTGATAAACCTTATTTTCGATCTACCAAAGTTCATAATAACAGACTATTGGCAGGAAATGGAAGTTTACTGCTTCCACATCATTTGTTATTTTTGGGCCTATCCGATAAGCCAAATTTATAAAAAACTATTTTTTTTACTTATTGGTAAATTAGAGAGTTCATCTCTGTACTTTCTAATTGTGACTAAATTAAAGAAAATGCGTGTTATTTTTTAAAAGGGGGGAAATTTTTAAAGTGTTAATATAGAGAATAAAGAATTACAAAAATTTTCAAATTATAGGGTGTTAAAACCCAATTTTTCACAAAAAGCTACCAGACAAAAGTAAAGAGCATTTAATTATTAAAAAAAACCAAATATAGGCAACTGAAGAAAACAGCCAGATATCTTTCTTTAATTGTCTTGAAAATAATGAAATAATGAAAATATGGACTATCTAGTCCATATGAATTCTTTGTGACTCTATCATTTTGAGACAAACTTGTAAGAGAAATCTTTTGGTGGTTTATTTTCTATAATTCTAAAATCCATGATAATGCTTTAAATAAAGAATGCATTAAATGAGATGATAGTATTTTGTTATGTTAGTGTTTAAACAATTATTTTTCCTCTTTCCAAATGCAGGTAATCAAACTCTCTTCAGACAATCATAACTTCTACTGTGCCTACAAAAAAGCCTCATAACTGTATATTGAGAGGGGCACTCCTTTCCCATTATCACTTTCTTTGCCTTCTTCTCCCAATAATAATAAGAAAAAATTCCATCAAGTCAACTGCAACTTATAGAAACTCTTTGATAACAGAAGAAGAAACTATGCCTTTGAGTTGTGGTGTTGGAGAAGAGTCCTGAACATATCATAGACTGCCAAGAAAATAAGCAAGTCTGTCTTGCAGAGGGTGAAACCAAATTTCTCCTTGGAGGTTAGGATTTTGAAGCTCCGTCTCACATACTTTGGACATGTGGCCAGGAGATTCTTGGAGAAGGAGGATATCATGCTTGGAAGGGTGGAAGGACAGCGCAGAAGAGGAAGACCCCAGAGGAGACGGATTGATGCAGTACCTGGAGTAATGGGAGTGGGGATGTTGGAGCCAGTTAAACTGGCTCAGGACAGGGCAGGCTTCAGAGCTGTTGTGCACAGGATTGCTATAAGTTGCAGGTGATTTGATGGCACATTACAACAACAACGTAATACAGAGTAGAACTGACTTATAGAGAACAGAATAGAATTGATTCACAGTTGCCAAGGCTGTAAATCTTTACTGGAGTAAAAACTTACTCCCACATTTAAAGGAGAGGCCCATATGAGGCCTTTATTTCCTTCATATCCATTTTAATTCCTAAAACTTGACTTCCACTGTCAAAAGTCCACTATGTCCTTTTCTCCAAGTTGTACGTATCTCTCTAATTAGCATTCTGTTATGACACCATTGTGCTGATTCTCCCAAGTGGCCACCTCTTGTTGTTTGCCATCAAGTCAGAACCAATCATAGTGGGTTTACAGAGGCTTTAAATTGTATGGGAGAAGATTGCCCATCTATATCTCTCTTGAAGGGCAGCAGGTGCATTGGAACTGCTTGCCTTTAGGTTGGCAGAGCATCTCCTTACCACTAGACCACCAGAGAGTCCTGGGGCACCTAGTTGCTGTTATTCTTTAAAGATAGACCCTTCTACTCAATAGTCCTTGACAGATCAAACTCACAGTCCTTTACTTTTCTCCATACTCATCCATTTCCTTGGGAAAATCATCCAACATTTACACTTATTTTCTTTTCTTACACTGTTTTTTGTGTTGTTTCCTTAAAAAAAGGTCTTTGTAATGATCCTGATCCCTCTATGTTTACCAATCCCAAATTTTTATCTAAAATATCTCACACAACTCAAGTTCTATGCTGGAATAGATGGCCATAGTACAATCCCATGTATTTGCTCATAACTAGCCATTTCAATATATCTTCAGTCTCAGATCCTAGGATTTGAATAGCTATCATGTAACAGAGTAAGTGCTTCAGTTAGGCAGGCCTATTTAATAAGGGAGTTCTGGTGGCCTAATGGTAAGGAATTGTGCTGCCAATTCAAAGGCATGCAGTTTGAATCCACTCACGTCTCTGCAGGGAAAATATAGGCAATCTCTTCCCAAGTAAATTACTGCCACTGAAAATCTACTGGAAGGTCAGATGTGAGATGGTTCCAACTCAACCACACACAACAACAAAACAATATGCCCAAAGAATGTGAGACAAAGCTCAGAATTTTGAATGTAGTGTCTGAAGTCATTTGGGACGTGTACACTTCTAGATATTCATTCTTCTCATTCTGGTAACCATAGTACGCAAAAGATACAGGAGATATAAAGAATTTGTTGTTGGTGTGCACCATCAAGTCAGAACTGCTGACCAGTGAGTTTTCAGAGGCAGTTTAATCAAAAGGGAAGAGATTGTCCATCCTTTTCCAATGGAGCAGCTGGTGATTTCGAACAACTTGCCTTCAGTATTGCTGCACAGTTTCTCACCACTAGGTCACCAGAGCTCCCATAAATAATTAGGATAAGCAAATATTTATGTTCCAAGTGCTACAAATAGAAGTGCACTTTCCTTTTTATTCTTCCTGGAAAAAAATTATATCATCTCACAGCACTGAGTTGGACTGGGGAAATAAAATGAAATTGCTTGCCATTAAAACTTTAAGTATATCTATGGTTCCATGTCCAGAGCCTCTCTTCCTTGTAACTTAACAATGCAGTGAGAAAGGACATCACAGCAGTTAAAGAGTGTAAGGACAAAGCAAAGCTTCTTGCCAAGGTTAAGCTTGTCTGAAATTATCCAAAAACTAGCAATTAGACTGTTAAATGAGGTATCCCAAGACAAGGCAAATAGCACTGCAGTGCTACTAGATTAGATGCAGATCATGATGGTTTGGTACATGGTGGAGGGGCCATTGAGGAAGATGGGACATGGTGGAGGGGTAACTGGGGAGGATGGACCAGGAGTTGTCAGATACTCAGAACAATGCTCTCAGCATTTGAATATCAGAAAATTATTTTTCAAAAAATCTACGAAGTGAGAAAAGTCGGACTATTGTAGTGTGCCAAGTTGGAACCAACTCACAGCTGACCCTTCAGCTGGTTTTCAAAGGCTGTAAGTTGTTTGAGAAGAGATTTCCCATCTTTCTTTTGTGGAGAAGCTAGGATTTTAATTGCCTGTTTCTGGGTTAGCAATGCAACTCCTTATTCACTAGGCCACCAGAGCTCCCTGAAAAATCAGGTACCCAAGACTATTAATTTGGTATGCTGAGAAATAGTTATGCAAATTAATAACTTGACTCACACCTCAGAATTTGCTTTTATCATTCACTGATGGTCTGCAAATGGAAACCAAAAGTGATTTTTTTTTCTCTCATTCTTTCTCAAGCTTGGTGTTTCTTTGAGACATTTCTCTGCTGGGTATGAATAGGCTACTTGGCACTCTGATAAACATACAAAGCTAAATATCTGCCTGAGGCTCATGGTGCTTAACTTGATTTTGGGTCTGGCAAATCATAGGAAAGCTACGGAAATTACAGAACTCTGGTGGCCCACCTAGCAGTTAGGTAGGAGTTGTGGGGTCAAACAGAATGCATGCACTTAAAATTCACCAGCTATTCTGCAAGAGGAAGATGCACAATCTCTTCCTGTGTGATTTGTAGCCTCTGAAAACCTGCTGTATAAGAATGGCACACAACATCAACATGAGAATTAAAAGTAATATACTAGTTAGGCAATTATTCCTTAGTGTTTGTTTGGTTGAGGATTGTTTGTTCGTTTGTTTTAAATCTAACATGAGACAAAAAATCTAAGTGAAAGGACTCAGTTGCAAAACCTTTCAGATCAATATGATCATTTCCTTTAAGTATAATTAACACTCAAATTTTCTATGGCTGCATTTAGATTGTTATTTTTTTGTTTTGTAAAACTCAAACACAAAGTAAAACATAAAATGAAGTACTGCTAGAATACAAAGTATCAACATTATTAAGCATTATTTGAAGTTCAAATTAGTAACTAGGCTTTCATGTCTTTTTTACTTTTGTAGAATTTTGAATCAAATATTCATTTTAAAAACGTTTATATGTATCTAAAATAGGGATAACTGCTGCTTACTGTAAAACTCTGGTGTTTACTAGTTTTCTAAAAGTATCTGTTCAATGAATGTGACAAAGAAATGAAAAAAGCTTCTATTCT